CACACACATGTATATTTTAGTTGTAGTTGAATACAATAACTTTAATTAATTAATTTATTTTATGTGGTGCTAAGGATCAAACCCAGGGTCTCGCATGTGCTAGGTGAGTGCTCTACTGCTGAGCCACAACCCCAGCCCCTAGAAATCTGTATTTTTATCAAGAAATGATACACACTCAAGTTTGGGAAACACTCCCTGAAATGCACTCATTGAAAAAAGAGAAAGATTAATAATTTAAACATCCCACTCAAGAATTTTTAAAAAGAACACATTAAAATCAATCTAAAAGTAATAGATGGAACAAAAAATAATATTAAGTATAGAAGTTTTCTTTACAATCTACTTTTAGTGGTTTAAATTTGATGTTAGGACCTTCAAGAGACACTGTCTTTGCTTCTAGACTCTGACAATCCCAGTTTTCCTCCAGGTTGACACTAACCAGTAAGTGGATCAGTACGAAGAAGTTGAGCAAAAAGAAACTAATACATAGAAAAATGTTCAAGATGTCTCATTACAGATATCTGGACAGATATGGATATACATTATTTTTCTAGACAGAATCATAGAAAGTGTTAAATGATTGGGGGTGGAGAGAGGTACTTGAGGGTAAGAGGATAAGATGTATTCCATTTTCAGTTTTAAAAACACTCTTATTGACTTTGAATTTCTGCTTTTATACACATATTACTTTGATTTTTTGGGGGAGGGGCTACCGGGGATTGAACTCAGGGCCATCTGATCACTGAACCACATCCCCAGCCCTATTTTGTGTTTTATTTAGAGACAGGGTCTCACTGAGTTGCTTACTAAGTTGCTTAGTGCCTTGCCAATGCTGAGGCTGGCTTTGAACTTGTGATTCTCCCACCTCTGGCCTCCTGAGCCACTGGAATTACAGGCATGCACCACCATGCCTAGCTGATCATATTTTTTCTTTCTTTCTTTTTTTTTTTTTTTTTTTGGTACTGGGGGGTTGAACCCAGGGGTGCTTTACCACTAAGCCATATCCCAAGTCTTTTTGTTTCAATTTTTTCTTAATATTTTTAGTTGTCGATGGACCATTTATTTATTTATATGTGGTGCTAAGAATAGAATCCAGTGCCTCACACATGCTAGGTAAATGCTCTACCACGGAGCCACATCCCCCCCAGCCCTACTTTGATTTTTAAAAGTGCTAATTAGCTTAATTGTACTGTGAGGTTAGAAATAATTTTTCTTTTTTCTTTTTTATTTGGGTAATGGGAATAAACCCACACATTTATGACCATCTGATTCTGGAAAAAGGAACCAAAAACACACACTGGAGAAAAGACAGCCTCTTCAGCAAATAGTGCTGGGAAAATTGGACTTCTACCCATAGGAGATTGAAACTAGATCTCTATCTCTCGCTCTGTACAAAAAATCAATACAAAGCTGGGTGCATGCCTGTAATTCCAGAGGCTGGGAGGCTGGGGCAGGAGGATCACGAGTTCAAAGCCAGCCTTCAGCAACAGCAAGGGGCTATGCAATTTAGTGAGACCCTGTCTCTAAATAAAATATTTAAAAGGGCTGGGAATGTGGCTCAGTGGTTGAGTGCCTCTAAGTTCAATCCTCAGTGTACTCTCCCCCCAAAATCAACACAAAATGGATCTAAGGCCTTAATGTAAGACCTGAAACTTTGAAAATATCAGAGAAAAATATAGGGGAAACACTAGAAGATATGATATGCAGGCAATGATTTTCTGAATAGGACTCCAATTGCTCAGGAAATAATAGCAAGAATTAACAAGTGGAATTCCATCGAATGAAAAAGCTTCTGCACAATAGAGTGAAGAGACATTCTATAGAATGGGAGAAAATCTTCATCAACTATTCATCTGACACAGGTTTAGTATTCAGAATATATAAAGAACTAAAAATATCCCACACCAAAAGAACAAATAATCTAATTAATAAATGGGCAAGTGAGCTGAACAGATACTTCTCCAAAGAGAAGTGGCCAATAAATATACAAGAAAATGATCAACATCTTTGGTTATCAGGGAAATGCAAATCAAAACTATAATGAGGCCAGGTGGTGCACACCTGTAATCTCAGCTACTCTGGAGGTGGAGGCAGGAGGATCATAAGTTGGAGGTCAGCCTCTGAAACTTAGTGAGATCCTGTCCCAAAATAAAAAATAAAAAGGGCTGGGGATATAGCTCAGAGATAGAGTGTTCAATCCCTGGTACTGCAAAAACAAAACAAATCAAATTAAATTAAAAAACAGAAAAGCACATTGAGATTCCATCTCATACCAGTCAGGGAATAAAGATTCAAGGGAAAAGGAGAACTTATATACTGTTGATGGGAATGTCAATTAGTATAATCACTACGAAAAACAATATGGAATTGCCTCAAAAAACTAAAAATAGAACTACTATACAATTCAGCCATACTCCTGGGTATACATCTAAAGGAATCAAAGTCAGCATACTAAAAAAAAACAAAAAAAGTCAGCATATTACAGAGATATCTGTATACCTATGTTTGTCACAGCACTATTACAATAACCAATTGAATGAATGGATGAATGGATAAAGAAAAATCAGTAACCAATTGAATGAATGGATGAATGGATAAAGAAAAATCAGTGGATTCATGCCCATCAGTGGATGAATGGATGAAGAAAATGTGGTATATATAACCATGGTGTATTATTCAGCCATAAAGAACAAAACCATGTTTATTTGCAGGAAAATGGATGGAACTGGAGATTATCATGTTGAGGAAAATAAGTGAGACTCAAAAAGACAAGTATTGTATTTTATTTCATTGGTGAAATCTTGAAAAAAAGTGACATAAGAATAGAAAGTGGACTCTTAAGGAAGGTGAAGGGGGCGGGGGGAGGGTGAGGACAAGAGAGGGCATAGGAAAGGTGGATATGGTCTGAGTACATTATATACATATATGAAATTTGAGTAGTATTCTATATAGTACTAGTAAAATACAACAACATGAACATGTCCCAAACCCGATCTAGGACAGATTTTTTTTTTTTTAAATATGTAATTCACAACCTCTGGGAATAAGCACACCTGATAAAATATGCAAGCAATTTTCTGAAAAACTCTAAAGAGATTGAAGCCTTGTTCTATGAAACTCAGTCACCTAATTGTCAGTCAAGAGTCTAATTACCTTTAACCAAACATAATCTTCTTTTGTGTTTAGTCTAACAATGAGTTTGTATTTCTAGAGAAAGTCCCTATCAAAAGCAAATCTTTAAATTAGCAGGATAGAGTTTTTCCTTTGCAGGAGGATTTGTAATGAATCTTTTTTTAGTTGTTGATGGGCCTTTATTTATTTATATGCGGTGCTGAGAATCAAACCCCAGTGCCTCACACATGCGAGGCAAACACTCTGCCACTGAGCTACCACCCGATCCCCTTGTAATGAATCTTAATAAGTAGCGATAACTAAATTTCTCGCAAATTTTAAAAACCTATCTTAAAACTTTCAAAATCCCGGGAAATACTCACTTTGGCTACTAGTATAAGGGATGAGGGTATGATGAATGACTGGGCAGCAGAACTATGGGAATAGAACGTAACCCATTCATTAATTTGACAAGTATTGAGGGCCTGCCATATGCCAGACTCAGACAAGTGTCTACTGCCAGGCACTGCTCTCGGTGCTAGAGATTCAAATCTTGCTCTTCCGACTCTTTCCGTGGGACGGCGCTTCTTTCTTCGCGTGTCTTGACACGATTCTAGCTAAACGGGAAAGCCCCACCCCGTTTCCCGCCCTTTCCCCGTGTCCTCCTGGGACTACAGCTCCCATAATGCTCTCGTGGTGCACTCTTATAAGGGCGCCACCTCTCTCCAGTGCCGGGGACGACTACAGTACCCAGAATGCTTTGCTTCCCCTCCCGGGTGTTTTTGCCCCTTTCCTGGTGTGGGACGCGGTAGTGGCTAGCGGCAGTGCCAGGCCTGGGGTTGCCTGTGTCCTTCCCCGGGTCACGGACGAGGCAGTGACTTGACTCCCGGGCGCTGAGCCCGAGAGCGAGCACAGGCGACCGCCTTCCGTCCCGTCGGTTCGCGTCCTCCTTTGCTCCTTGTCCTGCTCCATCTGTGGCTGCCTGGACCGCCCGGGACTGACTGCCTGGAGTAGGGGTGACTGTCGCTGCTGCTGGGGCTAAGGCGAGGCTGCGGCCCTCGGACGGCTGTAGCGGCTGTAGTGCTAGGGAGGAGGAGAGAAGATGGCGTCGGAGCTGGAGCCCGAGGTGCAGGCCATCGACCGCAGTTTGCTGGAATGTTCCGCTGAGGAAACCGCGGGGGTGAGTGCCGGAGCCGGGTGGGTACGTTCTGCCCTCCCAGGCCGCGCCCCGGGGGAGGAACCGACTGCTAGAGGTCCCAGGGCCGCTCGTCACTGACTTGGGATAACCAGCGGCCTGGTTCTGGAGAGGCCACGAATCCTGCTTCTGTCCCCGGCAGTCCCCTGAGCTCTCCTGTGCCCCAACCATCTTTACATTCCCCTTCTGTCCTGCGAACCCACAGGGCTTCCATTATTCTTCCTTCCCCGCGCACTCCATTAAGTCTCCAACCCATGGGCCTTTGCCCTTTATACTAGCTCTTCCTAGTGCTGGGTATAATCGCTCTATCTTGTGGCCTTGATTTCCTGGTCCTGGGATAAGGGGAGCAGTACCTCCTCCACCGACGCATGCTTCCCTAACCAAGCCCCAACTTTGTTTTTATGACCACCCCAGGCACCAAGGATGCAAATACTGCTCTTCATTGCCCACTTAAGTGCTTTTTTTTGCACGGATTCAGTTATTGCAACGTTGGTGCCCATGTTGAAAGTGTTGCCTTCACCCGTGTACTGAACGTGAGAAAGTAGTAGTGGAGGCTGGGAGAATTAAAAAAACAAAAAAACCAACAAGTAGGAGTTGGGAAAAGTTGGATGGAGAACAAACGTTATATAACTTTGAAAGAGCAGATTTAGCCAACCAATACAAGATAATAGTGTGAGTTGGTTACTATAGTAGGAGCGGTTAGGCCCCAGTCTTAAACCATTTAAACTCAGTATGAGAAATGTAATATGAATATGCTAGTATAGGTAGCAGAGTTGTAAAATGATTAATAAACTCAATGGCATCTTTCCTCTATAAGGATAGGGAACACCCAGTTAGAACAGATTTTCCACAGTGATTATCAAATGGGCCAAAACAACCTGGGCTCCACTTCCGAGGCCTTCAATTTAAAAAGCTTGTAGAAATGTTAGGAACAAAACTTGGTAGGGGGGTGGGTGCTCTGTGGAGCCCTTTGGTCAGTGAATAGTTATTTTGAGTGAATTAGAGCATCAAAGTCTAGGTGGAAATAAATGACAGGAGTAGAGGTAAAAAGTTTAAAGAAATACTTTGTTGAATTATGAGTCTGCATGTTTTAAACTTTTTAGTCTCATTTACTTTCTACTTCATTATTGCACAACTCAAGGAGTTTCGGCCTCCATCTGTCTTTCATTAATCAAAGAGATTTGAAAAAGAAAATGAAAGTGGTGTTACAAGTAAGCAGGAAAATAATAAAAATAAAATAATAAAAAGCTCTTCACTATCTATGTCTCTTCTAATTAATATTTAATCTATTTTTTTCTCATATTGTTCCCCCTCCACCAGCACCAATTTTATGTCTGTTAGTGCAGACTGCATCTTCCATTATCCCTATTCTAAAAGTGTGGGCTACCAGGTGATTAGAGGTCTCCAGATTGTTTAGGGAGCCAGCTATAAAGCCAGTACTGGAAGCCAGTGCTCTCAGTTCTTATGCAGTGAATTCTCAAGCAGTTATAGTGGGGAAAACTAAGGGAAATGCAACAAAACATTAATTTATACTTAATTTGAGTCTGTGAAGATCACAATATGAGCTATATTTTACTTTTTGCTCTCTTTACTCTCATGTGACTTTCAAAATGGTTTTACCTATTTAAAAAGTGTAGTTTGAGGGCCAACAAAATTCCTTTAAATAAAGAAGATGGAAACAAATATTAAAGATATAATATTCCTCCAGCTATATAACCTTAGCCTGGCATTATTTTGTGAGGGCTTACTGTCTGTATTTAGTTAAAAACACCCAATACTTAAAGCCATTCTTTAGCTTAGGTTCTAGCACAACCCTGTGTCACAAGTGGAAATATACTGATAACATTCTTTGTTATTAAAAGTAAATTTTAGAGAATATAAAAAAAATAGTGAAAGTGCTTCCTATAGGCTTTCAACCTCTATTATTGATAATTTATTAGGATCACTTCCATTTAAAATTACCTAGTGCTCCTTGATCTTTACTACAGTTTTTTAATCACTGTTTTCTTCTCTTAAGAGGAAGAAAGACTTTGTGATCCCATCTATTCCACCTATTGTGCTTCACAAAAGCATTTACTCTAGTTATTTTGAGTGAATTGGTGAGGACACCAAAGTGCAGATGGACAATAATAATATCCTAAAATTACAGTGGCCCTCAGAAGAGACCTAGTTTCTTTTTCTTTGTGAATTCTATTCCAGTCTGACTTTCCCAGCACTTCTTGACTCTGTCTACATTTCATGCCACATATTGATTATAGTGTATTTCATTGAATGATTATGATTTAAGAAGTACACATATTTTATTTCTCCCCAAGTATAAAAGAAATACAGAGGCTGGGGTTGTAGTTCAGTGGTAGAGCGCTTGCCTAGCAAATGTGAGCACTGGGTTCAATACTCAGCACAACATAAAAATAAATAAGTAAAACAAAACTATTGTGTCCATCTACAACTAAGGAGAAAAAAAAAAAAGAAATACAAATTCATTTTAGAAGTTTTATGTAGAATACTATGTCTTGCCAGGCAGGGTGGCAAATGCTACTAATCCTAGTGACTTGGGAAACTGAGGCAAGAAGATCACAAGTTTGAGGCCAGCCTGGGCAACTTAATGAGACTGTCTCAAAATAAAAAATAGAAAAGGCTGGAGATGTACCTCACTGGTAGAGTACCCCCTGCATTTAATCTCCTGCACCACAAAAAACTATCAGTTATTTTTGGCTTTAAAAATTTAAACAGTTTTATGGTATAATTCACATACTGTTCAAATCTATTCAGGGGTTTTTAGTGTATTCATAGAGTAGTATAACCATCACCACAATCAATTTTAGAATATTTTTATCATCCCCCCCAAAAAAAATAAATCATGTACTCTACACTCCCAAACTCTAAGCAACTACTAATAGATTTATAGATTTGTCTATTCTTGACATTTCATAATAATGAAATAATGCAGTGTGTATATGTGTGTGTATAGTGTGGGTGTGTGAGAGAGCATGAGAGTGGCTTTTCTTTTTTTTTTTCAAATATTTATTTTTTAGTTGTAGTTGGACACAATACCTTTACTTTATTTATTTTTATGTGGTGCTGAGAATCGAACCCAGGACCTTGGACATGGTAGGCGAGTGCTCTATTGCTGAGCCACAACCCCAGCGCCCCACCACTCTTTAATATTTATTTTTTAGTTGTAGTTGGACACAATACCTTTATTTTATTTATTTTTATGTGGCTGACTTTTCTTTTAGCAAATTTAAATCTGTCCATGTTGTAGCATGTATTAATACTTCATTCCTTTATATTGCTAAATAATATTCTGTTTTATGAAATGTACCAAATTTATCCATTCATTAAATTATAGATATTTGGGTTATTTCCATTGGTGATATTTGTAACATGATGCTATGAAAATTTGTGTTAAAATTTTTAAAATTTTTTTGTGTAATTATTTTAGTTTCTTTTGGCTGTATACCTACCAATGGAATTGCTGGGTCATATGATAATTACTCTTTTGAGGAACTGCCACTGTTTTCCAAAGCGGCTGCATCAATTTACATTCCTACCAGCAATGTGTGCAGGTTCCAATTTCTCCACATCCTTGCCAACATTTGTCTGTTTTTTTATTATAACCATTCTGTTGAATGTGAAGTGCTTTCTTGTTGTGCATTTTCCTCAAAACTCATGATGTTGAGCATATTTTTGTGAGGTTATTAGCCATTTTCCTGATTTTCTTTACTCATTTTTAAGTTGGGCTTTTTGTCTTTCATTATTGAGTTTCTGTATTAATTATTTTTAGCTGTAAATACTCTCCTTCATTTTTAGATCGCTTAATATAACTTATTCAAATTTTTTCCTTTTTTTTGATATTTATTTTTTAGGTGTAAATGGACACAACACAATGCCTTTATTTTTATGTGGTGCTGAGGATCGAACCCGAGTCCTGCTGAGTCCCGCCCGTGCTAGGCGAGCACTCTACCGCTGAGCCATAATCCCAGCCCTCAAATTTTTTCTTAATATTGTCCCCAAAATTTCATAAGAGCACTATGATTGTTGTCATTAAGTCCCATGTTGCTTATCCTTGTTTGAAAACAAAATCAAATACGGTTAAAGGATACAATTTTAATAGGTGATAGAATAATAATTAGATACTATAATAAAAAGGCTAACCCCCTAGGGATTCTTTCATTTTTGTGTTTGTTGTACTTGCTCTCTCTAAGGCTTAACTTTAGCGTTCAGTAAAAGGAAGGCTTCTGGAAACAGTCATAACATGTTTACTTTAATGGAATGAGTTGACAGTTTCTTTACTTCCCTATAGGGGACTTAGAAGATAGCAAATGTTTATTAGTCTTGTGCACTTGGATGTGACAGCTGCAGGTTATCTGAAAGACAAATTAAAATGTAGCCAAATTAGAAATCTTAATTTTTCCTGCCAAAGAAACAGTTAGCCTATGTTAGTGAGAACTAATATGAAAAGCTATAGATTTTATTCTTTGGAGCAATGTGTGAGCCATTATTCTGAAAGTCAGTTTAAGTTATTCCTTATATATGAAATATGTAAGTTTAATCAGGTGAGGGTGCTTGTAATATGGCTCAGATCTGTTATATGTTTTTTAATTTTTCACATAATAGTAGTAAACTTACTAAGACAGGGAGCATATGCCTTTGTTTCTTGAGCCAGGTTTTTAATAATTTATAATAAGGGGTAGAACTGTGGCTCAGCGGTAGAGTGCTTGCGTAGCACATGCGAGGCTCTGGGTTCAATCCTCAGAACCACACACACAAAAAAAATAAATAAAATAAAGGTATTAAAAATAATATATATAATATGATATTTAAAGTGAAATTTTTTTACTGTGTTTTATGTAAGGTAGCTATTCTTTTTTTTTTTTTTTAACCAAGAGCTAATATTTTTTTCTAAATTTTTTATTGAAGAAATCTTTGAACAAATTTGACTGCTCTTATATCCACAAAATACCATAACTTACTTTTGGGAGCATTTTAGTCTCCTTGGATTAAAATTCTATGAAGTTTTAGGGGAAATAGATACATAAAATTATAAGGAAAATAAAAGTTGTATTTTTAATAAAACCTGTGATTGTATTGTAAATCAAAATTGAATTCTTTCAGGGCTGGGGTTGCGGCTCCGCGGTAGAGCACTTGCCTTGCACGTGGGAGACCCTGGATTTGATCCTCAGCACCTAAAAATAAATAAGTGAAATAAAAGTAAAAAAAAAAAAAAAATTGAATTCTTTCAGACGTTGCTTAATATTTCATTCATAAAGAATAAATTGTGTAGGATAATTTGATCACTTTTATTCATATTTTGGTTTGGTGACAATGGGTAAAAAATTGGGTTTATTCTTGTATGTGACCAACAGAAGTATCTCTTAGCTCAGTAAGATTCTGTTTGCTTGTTGATAACTCTTTGCCTTATACTTTTTTTAGAAAAAAATTTGTTTTTTAAAAATAATTCTTGGGGGCTGGGGATGTGGCTCAAGCGGTAGCGCGCTTTCCTGGCATGCGTGCGGCCCGGGTTCGATCCTCAGCACCACATACAAAAATGTCGTGTCCGCCAAATACTAAAAAATAAATATTAAAAAAAATTCTCTCTCTCTCTACCCCTCTCTCTCACTCTCTCTTTAAAAAAAAAATAATAATAATTCTTGGGTTTTAAATATATGTGATTGTGTTTGGGAGAGAGAGTGAGAAATATGGATTTGGAGCCACTTTATAAAGGCAGCGAATCCTTAGAATTTTGGGATTCTATCTCCCAAGAAATGCTGTTGTTTTAAAAGTGATTTAATTTCTTTTCCTACTTTCGTAAACACAAAAGCTAGTAGAGTTTGGGACAGTGTTTGGAAAGTACAATTTCACTTTAGGGGTGAAAATTGTTTTCAGATGAATGCTTCCATGCAGTCCCTTAATGAACAAAATTTTTAGTAAAAGTTCTCTGAAAACATGAAATTGACTAGAAAGTTAATATGTATTACCTCATGAATATTTTATTTATGTAGCATCAAACTACATGAGTTTAATATAGTGAAAACACACTCTTCCAAGTACACAATTTCTTAGCAAATTATTTAGCAGTTGAAATGACAGTGCCACCACTTCTAGGTTCTTGTCTTAGTCCTGTAGGACTTTGTCTTAGACCTTTTGTGCTGCCTACAGAATACCTGAAACTGGATCATTTATAAAGAACAGAGATGTGTTTCTTTCATTTCTGGAGCCTGGGAAGTCTTAAGATGAAGAGGCCCATATCTGGCAAGGCCTTAGTGCATGGCCAGACTCATTCTTTTTTCAGGAATCCACTCAAGATAGCTAACCCATACTGTGATAATGACAAAATTAATCCATCTATGAGTGCAGAGCCCTCATCACCGAATCACTTCTTTTTTTAAAAAAATTGTTCTTTTTAGTTATATATGACAGTAGAATCTATTTTGATATATTAATACAAGCATAGAATATATCTTATTTTAATAAGATCCCAGTCCTCATGAATATTTTGAATCTTTCTTTGTATGTTTTTAGAAGGAAGGAAGGAGGCTGAAGATAATGCGAATAATAGTTAAAGCAAAAATGTTATGTTGATTTCATCTGGTGTTAGTTATCACTTGTACATAATTTTTTTAATCAAATGTAATTGGAATTTAGGTAATCCATAGGCAAACATTGGATCTGTGAATTGTGTTAGCAGTTCAGGTAACTACATTTTAGTAGAAGTGAGTTATTTTATTTCATGTTTTCTGATTTAAAATTTTTACTTGGCTTAGAGCCAAAATGACTTATAAATTACACAAAGCAGAATGGAGAGCAAATAAGCATCAACACAGCTGGCAGAGGAGATGGGAATACATGACAGAATAAAGGGAAAGGAAAGGAAGTGGTTTGAACGATGCCTTATCTAGGGCTTATTTGGTTTAGTTTTTAGAGACATATCTGATCAATACTGCAGGCATGGATTTTTACTTTCTCTGTTTATATTAAAGCCACATGGAGCATCTTTCTGGAATGTTAGGGTTATGTGACAATAAATAGTATAAACATATTTACAGTCATTCACTTAACAGTTTTGCTAAATGCTCATGGAGGCCAGGCTCTATTTTAGACCTGGGGTCATGGGGAAAGGAGGTAGGGATGGGAAATGGGCTGAGAAGATGAGTTATAGGAAGTGAAATAAATTGAGATCTGAAGAATGAGTAGAAAATAGCTTTGTAAAGCAGAGAGGGAGAGGAGTAAGACAGGGCAGGAGAAGACTGAGATAGAGCGAAAACAAAGGACTTTGTTAGGGATGTCAGGGGATTTTTGACTCAATCTTAAATGTAACTGGGAAGCTGAATGACAGAATCAAATTGGTATTTTGGAAAAATTACGGTGGTAGTAAGGTTAGAAAATTAACTGCAGGGAGGACAAGGCTAGTGGAATATTGTTGTACTATTCCTGTTGATGAGGACAAGGGGTTTGGACTAGGATATAGTAGAGGTGGTAGCTGTGAAGAAACAGAATCAAGAGATATTTAGGAAGCCTAGTAGTTAAAAAGACAGGATGATTGTTTGGATATAGAGGTGAGAACTTAGGAAGATTTTCAGGTTTTTCTGGTTTGGATATCTTTGTAGATGCTAAATTAGGGAAATGGGGAAGAATAACAGATTTTGGTGGGGGAGGGGGTATTATGAGTTTAATTTTGGATATATTGAGTTGGTGCCTGTATAATATCTAAGTTTAATTGTAATAGGGTGGTGTGTGTGTGTGGTTTTTGTTTGTTTGTTTGTTTGTTTTTTGGTTTTAGAGGTGAGAGCAGGTTGATCATGTTTTTATAGAGAGAGGTTGATAAGGAAAATTGAGAGAACAAAGACATTTGTGGACTGACATTCATAAGAGATTTTTATATGTACTTTTTTTTTTTTGTATTTTTTGGTACTGGGGATTGAACCCAGGGGCCCTTAACCACTGAGTCAAGTCCTCAGCCCCCACCCCCTTTTTAAAAAAAAATTTGAGACAGGTTCTTGCTAAGTTGCCTCAAATGTAAGATCCTCCTGCCTCAGCCTCCTGAGTCATTGGAATTACAGGCATGCGCTGCCACACCCAGCTTACAAACTTGTTTATTAATCAGTGAGAAATATAACTTGTGTATTGGCTATTCATGTTCACTACATGCTCTTCCTGTAAGCAAATTGACATGAGAATCCACACCACAGAATAACATTTGAGCAAAGTATTAGAGAAGAAAAGAAGTCAGATGTACTTTATGACTAGTGTCATGTAAGAATTTCTTGTGTTTATTTTTGTATTCTTCCTATAGAATTTTGTTTCAAGAGTCATTTTAAGGGCAGGGGTTGCATCTCAGTGGTGGAGCGCTTGCCTTGCACATGTGAGGCACTAGGTTTGATTCTCAGTACCACACATAAATAAATAAAGGTAATGAATTTAAAGCGGCTGGGGATGTGGCTCAAGCGGTAACGCACTCTCCTGGCATGCGTGAGGCCCGGGTTCGATCCTCAGCACCACATACAAACAAAGATGTTGTGTCTGCCAAAAACTGAAAAATAAATATTGACATTCTCTCTCTCTCTCTCTCTCTCTCTTAAAAAAAAAAAAAAAAGGTATTGAATTTAAAAAGTCATTTTTAAACAAAGGGTTTGCTTTATTTTAATTTTACTTAGACTTTGAAGTAGAATTCGAAAACACTTGGCATTTTAATAGATTGTTTCTAATATACATTGATGAGTGTTATAAATAAGATTTATTATTTTTGTACCCAAAAGAGAGTTGGGTGTAATTGTTCGAATTAGCAGTTTATTGACATTGTTTATTTTGTTCTCTTTTTTTAAAGAAATGGCTTCAAGCAACTGACCTCACTAGTGAAGTATACCAGCATTTAGCCCACTATGTACCCAAAATATACTGCAGGGGACCCAACCCTTTTCCACAGAAAGAAGACATGCTGGCACAGCATGTTTTGTTGGGACCAATGGAATGGTACCTCTGTGGTGAAGATCCTGCATTTGGATTTCCAAAACTTGAACAAGCAAACAAACCTTCTCATCTTTGTGGTCGAGTTTTTAAAGTAGGAGAGCCTACGTACTCTTGCAGGTAAAATATGATAATTTTCTTCCAGAAGACTTGTTTTTACTTTGCTACTTCTTTTTTCCTGAAACCTTAAAATTTGTATTTTAAAATTCTAAATATAATATGTACATTTACAAGTCCATACCAGATACCTATTGTTTAATAAATAATTATAAAATATTCACATAATTATTTTTCAGATCAAGAACCAGATTGTTAACCAGCATTCCAAAAGTCCACTGTGTGCTTTCTTCCTCCTCCAGAATTAACTGCTATCTTCACTCTTGCAGTAATTACTTCCTTAATTTTCTTAATATTTTTAGTTACAATGGTTTCTTTTTTATGTTCAAATTGTTCTAAATTTGGCTAGTGGGAGCCCCACCATACTCGCTTCTTTGTCATGTCTCCATTCATTTTTTGTGTGCTTTTTTCCTTTCTTGCACAATAATACGTCCATAACTCACTTTGTACTTAATTCTGACCCATATGTAATGTCAGTCATCTCTCCAAGGAATTTCCTTTTGGTTAGGAATAAACTAAGACTTTGGTGTTATATGTACGTACTGCTACAAAGAAGACTTCACTTTAAAAAAAAAAATGCTAAAAATTGAATATACAAGGGTAGAAAAAAAACAAAATGCCGTGACCCCCTTTTAAGTATCTATTCCTATTTTCCAGAACTAATCATTGTTAACTGTCTTATGTATCCTAGAAATTTTCTGTGTACATATCAACCCATGTACATGGCTATCTTAACACATACACACAAAAGAGAGTGATACATGTGTTAGGCTAAATTTTTCTTTCTCTGTTTGACAAAAGCCTGACATCTTTCCATTTGGCTTATAATATTTAGCTAGATAATATCCCATTATGTGGATGATTGACCACAGAAATTATGTGTTTCAGCCCTATCATGTGGCATATGATTTTGTTCTTTGACTGCTGATGCTGATTCTTGGGTTAAGGAGATGTCTACAAGACTTCACTATAAATTTAATTTTTCCCTATGTAATCAATAAGTATTTTGTGGAAATGGACTCTTTTTTAATATTTCTTTTTAGTTGTAGTTGGACACGACACCTTTATTTTATTTATTTATTTTTATGTGGTGCTGAGGATCGAAACCAGTGCTTCACATGTGCCAGACAAGCGCTCCACTGCCAACCCCCAGCCCCAGGAATGTACTTTGTGACTAGTAAATACCTTCTTCCATTCCAAACTTTCAGGGGTTTTTTTGTTTGTTTGTTTGTTTTTTGGTTTTGGCAATGCTTGGGATCAAATCTGCAATTTACTTATTTATATCAGTATCTATTCATACAGTCCCGTTATTCTTAAGCTTAAATTGTCCTAGATTTGGCCAGTAGGAGCCCTTTTATGATGTCTTTGTTGTTTTTCATAACCCCATTATGCTTTGAGCTTTTCTTTCTTTTCGGGCACAATATCGCAACCTAGACACATCTTGGATTTTTTTGCTGTCCAAGTCCTCAAATCAACCATTTTGCAAAAAGCCTGGTTCCTTTTAGTGGACAGTGATTTTTAGAAGTAAGATGATAGTTGTGCTTGTTGCTATGGGGATGTCACTACTCATAGGCCCTCTCAATGGACCTACATTTATTTTTTATGTATCTATATATACATATTAAAATAGATATTTAAAACCATGTATTTATAGTGATCTCTCTAGTTCTAATCCAACATTGCAAGTTCTTCATACTATGTTTTCTCCCCTTGTATATTTGTAACTTCTCCTACCTCCTATTAGGGTAGATCCATAATAAGACTTTGCTCCAGTATACGTAGTTCTTACTCCAAGACATGACCTTTCTGTTGTCTTAGCTAGATATGTATCTTGACTAGAACTCCAAAGCCCTCCAGTCCTGCTTGTTAGACTTCAGGTATCTTTTTGGTACTATCAATTCCACAATAGCCATTCTCTGGGAAACCTGAATCATTTAGCCCAACCCTTAACCAAATACTTACTTACCATTCTTACCTACCTTTCCCCATGCTGAGCCCATTCCACCACCTCTCTGGTCCCCTGACTCAGAGTTGAGCTATTTTATCTGTGTCAAAGTCTGATTTAGTCTCAGCCCAGTGAGGTCTTCTTGCTGTGTTCAGACATTAATTAGCTCTCTATATCATAGGCACAGGTGGGAAATTACCTTCTCAGTAAAAGTCAGGGCCATCCTGGGTATCACTTTATGAATTTCCCTCTTCTTAGTTATTATAGTCTTGTGCTGCCTCATGTATTTTGTCTTGTGTTATGATTGTTTGTAGTAGGTGATGGCGTGGGGAGTAGTTTATTACCAATTGTTCTGTCATATCCAGAAGAGGAAGTTCTGACTTCATTTCAACAAATGGAAATTGCTTATGCTTCCTGAGCATCTTCTAAACATCAGATTTAACACTAATAATTTGGTATGCAGTCATGCTTAATCTTTCTATAGCCTCCAAAATAATTAATGTTTTTGAGGAAACTGAGGCTCAGAGTGGTTAAGTGACTTACCTGCAGTCATAAAACCTGAAACGAGGTCTCTTGATATGAAGGAAATTGCGAACTCAAACTCAGTTGTTATTTCTGCTGGTGTATACTCTCAAAATATGGAGATTTCTCCCCACAAGCAAGCAGGCATGCTATAATTTCTGCAGCAGTGAACACCAGCTATGCATCCTCTAATGTAATTCACTTCTGACACTTCCCAGAAATAAAGTCAGATCCTCTCTTACGAACCTCTTGCCACTTAATGTTTTTCCTTGGGATTCTTTTAACCTTATGCTCAATATTCAGGAATTCTGTTAGTCCCAGGAATCCCATATATGTCTGTTGGTGAGTCTATCCTTGAGGAGAGACCTACCAGACTGCTCCCTACTTCAGATGCCTGGCATGATTTTGGATCCTCCAAAACTTCTGACCAACTGGCTACCAGTGGGTGTTCACATGACTCTTTGCATGGGTTCAATAAAATTTCTAGAGTATCTCACAGAACTCCAACACATTTACTAATTTATTATAAAAGATATTACAAAGGTTACAAATGAAGACGTGTTTAGGGCAAGATGTGCAGAAGCTGTCCTCTGTGGATATGTACTTTCAAGTGTTCAGCTATCTGGAAAGCCTCTACACTGTCCTTTTGGGTTTTTTAGAAACTTCATTGAATAAGCATGATTAAAGCATGGACAACCTTGTAGAAATGTGATTGGACAAAAAGGGGTTTTATTTAATGCTAATAATAGACTGGGGGTGGGGCACCAGCAAAGCTTGTCTCTTGGCCCCTGTGTAGCATTCCTTCCTCCCAGACACCTCTGGAATGGGGGACTTAGGATCTGTTATCAGAGAATTTCTTTATAGCCAGCTCCAAGACAGAAAGACAGAAGAAGATTAGAGTGTATTTTTAGTTTCTGTGACCCAGTTTGGGGAAGAAAAAAAGAGCAGATGAAAGGAGGGCAGGAGACCTTAAGTACCCTAATATTATTTAAGTCACTTAGGAAATAACAAGATCTGTGGTAGTGATGAACCAGGAACTATGGATAAAAACCAAGACTTGTATGTCATAATATCACAACAGGCTTCTCTGACTCTAAAATCCATGTTCTTTTCACTTTACCTCTTTTATTCTCAGATATTGGTCATTGTGAATTTTTTACTCGTACACAGTAAGATGAGAAGAATGGACTGAATTTTTCTTGCAATTAAACTTAATTTTTAGAAATGCCCTCTGTTAAAAATGTGATGACAACCAGAAAAAAAAATTAGCCTTTTCTTTGACTTTTCTACTGGTTGGGCACTGCTGTATAGTACCATTCTGATTCTTAAAATCAAGTTGTATTGCAATACTGACTTCTGTACCAAAAGTATATGCAAAGAATATTAAATAAAAATCATATTTGGGCTGTAGAAAGAGATGTTGGTGACTCATAATCATGGACTTGGTCTGAATCCTTCTCTTAAATTATCCCCAGTTAGACTAGTCTGTAATCTACTATTTCCCAGTTGCAGAAGTGTAGTATATGTAAAGTGCTTCAAACATGTTAGGTACTCAGCAAGTATTTGTTGAGCAATGTCTGTTTTGTTATTAGAAGTACAGGGCACAGTTTTAAAAGATGTTATTTTGCAGTTCCTAGTTTAAATTGATTTAGTATTTCTATTAGTTGTACATTTCCATGCTTGTCCAGTGGCAATGTTATATTTACATGTAAACCAGCTATTTTTTAGGTTGTTATTTGTGATTACATACAGGGAAATCTTCATTATTGTGGCTTTTACAACTTAATTCTTTAGCTCTTGATCCCAGCCAGTTAATAAGACAGCTATTGCTATAGGGAGCAGAATATTAATCTCTCTTAGGAACATATTGTCACTTCATTTTTTTGAGGGGGACTTTCTTAACCTTAGGTTCAATATTCAGGAATTTTGCTAGTCCCATATGTTTCTGTGGGTTCATCCTAGAGAAGAGATTGGGTGTAGGGAGAACTTACTATTTGATTGTTTCACAGAGTAACCTTGATTAAATTAGCCGAGTCTTGGGATCTTCCAGAAGTAAGAAGAAACTCATTTTCAACAGCAGTAGTAAAATAGGTTTTTGGGAGTTTGGAGAAGGGGAGTGAATGGCAGAAAGAGGAATATGTTTATTCCCTCAGTGAAAAGGATATATCACAGTAACTTTTTGCTTATAATTAAAGCTTAACTGTGCCTCAAGAATTGGTGGGTGAAACTGAGTCAGAGATGGTCTCAATAGATTTTTCTTGTATTAGATGTTTGGGGATTTGAACCTAGATATGTCATTCTGGGGTTTCTCTGAGATACAAACTAATTTCACTGGAATCTGGAAATTGGGTAATCTATACCATTCTAGGCCTTTTTTTTTTTTGTCCTGGAATTGAAGCCAGGGGTGCTTATCCACTGAGCCAAAGTCCCAGCCCTTTTTTGTATTTTATTTTGAGACAGGATTTCACTGAGTTGCTTAGGGCCTCACTAAGTTGGCGAGGCTGGTTTTGAACTCTGAATCCTCCTGCCTTAGCCT